TTTCTGTTTTTAAAAGCTTTTGATAGACTGCTCGGTGAATTTGAGGAATTTGCAGAGAAGGTTACAAAGTTTGTGAAGAAACAAAGATTGAGTAGATTTTAATAAGATGCATATAAGTATTCTATGACTATAAAGGCACAAAGGAACCAAACCATTTTCTGCTGGGATGTTGCCTTTTAGGACCAAACTGACAGCACAGAGGTTAAATGGGCTTGGATAACAAAACACTTTAATCACAGATACGTGTGGTTTCACAAATTTTACAACTTCCCTATTCCACAGGAGAAAAGGTGGAGTCCAGGAGAGAAACTGGAGTGGGGTGGGTGAGCGTGGCAGCTCATTATGTGGCCTCCCTGTCCTATAGTGTGGGAGGTGGCTCAGTCCAGAAGTTGGGCAGCTCAGCATAGCAGGTCCATCTAGGTGATGTGCAGTCCTGAGGCTGGGGTGTGGGATCCCCCAAATGCCTCTTTGGTTCACTGTTCTTGAGTGTCTTTATGTCTCGTTGGAGTTGTCCCCTGTGTACCCATTGAGTCTCTTACATGTCCCTGTGGTCTCTCCCTTGAGAGACTTGGTGTCTCCCTTGGCACTATCAGTTATAGGATTGGGTAGAGAATGTTCAAGTCTTGATTGGCGTGTTCAAATTCACTCAATGCCAACACCTGCCTGTTGTCATCACTGGTGCTCACAGTCTGCACATCTCAAAAATTCTCTTTTCAGTGGTGTTTTCACACTGATTAACAGGTTGTTTGTGCTGAGTTAACCTCTGTTGTTATAACCAAATTTCACACAGGCTCGACCTCTGCCAACTACTACACTGGACCAAAACAGGATAACCTTTGGTCACAAGCAGGTAATTTTGTCACTGTGACTATGCGGTATGTTTGCCGTATTTAGAAATTTTATTACAGCTGAGCCTTGCTATTTTTCTATATTAATCTTTATGTGTGTCAATCTAAGTTAAATTTCCTTCTATAGTATAGTGACAGACCTTCTGGATAGAGGAAATAGCACAGATATCTTATTTCTTGACTTTAGTACAGATTTTTACACCTTTGTAAGCTCAGGAAATGTTATCTAGATGCCACTAATTTATGAAGGGCTGCAACTGTTTTTGAAGATTACACTGATTTAGACTAATAAGATCAAATTAAAGAAATAGCTGGAAAAGTATAGGAAGTCATGCAGCAAGGAAAAGGGCAATGTTTTGCGTTTAGGAAAATCAACTTAAAATTATCCCTTGTATCAGCATACAATCTAAAACAATTGGATAAATTAAACATCTGGAACTTACAGTGAATAATAGGCTAAATGTGAGTTTCATTGTAATCAAAAAAGAAAAAAAACTACCAAAAGTTTTTCTCCAATTGCTTTGTAGGTAGGGCAATACATAAGTTTAACTGAAGAGCATAAGAGAGGGAGCATTTCTGAGTTAATGTAGAATTTTTCCTCCCTTTCATACAGGGAGACAATCCTTTTAAGCTCCGCAGACATTACAGTAGCTCTAGGACAGTTGCAGAATGTATATGTAAAGGCTTAAGGCAATTTCAGCCAAATAATTCCTTAAATTACATGTTGCTTAAACTCAAGATGATGTATCCATCTGTAATACTTCATATAACTGCAGCTTCAGTCTCTTTGCTGCAAGAATTCTGCTCCAGTGATTTCTGGCTATTATTCACATTTAATTTGGTGACCTTGGTTCAAATGGACTATGGAATGCATCCCAGACTGGTAGGATGACCCTAGTAGGGATATTTTATGATATAAGGAAAGAGGGTGCTTCTAAAAATGTTTTGGTTCAATGGTACGATGCATATTTTAATGCCTTTTTTTCCTTCTTTCATCGATAACAAAGAAAGCATACATTAGGCAAAAAGGATAAGCTGAACCCAGGGAAAGCTCTGTGCTAAATTTGAGAGGACTGTTTTTTCTCTCGTTTGACTATTGGACAGCCACCTTCACTGAACTATGACTCTTTCTTTTTTGTCTTTTTTTTTTTTGTGCCCGTGTCACAGTCAGTTGCAGACAGGTTTGATCACAAAGGAGAACCAAGGAGAAAGTTTCAGAGATGTCCAGAGCTCATATCCTATTCTATCATTGACATGTAGAATAGCAGAATTTACTTTCAGAGCTTTATACTGTTGTTTGCAGATATAATGTCAGTAATGCAGATGTTTCCTCCTATCCAGCTCCTGTAAAATTTTGAGCTTAAAGATGGAAAAGGAGAAAAGAAAGATGACTGAGTCTGAAGTATAAAAAGAGAAAGTACAGCAATGTGGCTATATCACAGGAGATTTCACTAGTCTGACTACACATCTTTATAAATGTTCTCGTGTCACTTATATAGATGCTCTTGTTTTTTTTCTTAAATGGTACATTTGGTCAGACTTTAAAGTATGATTAACTTGGAAGAGTTCTGAAAATTGGCAATTCAGACATGATTTAGCCAATACGACTGTGTTCTCTGTTACAGGGTTCAACATTAACATGTCTTTTTGTCATGTAATCATGTAAGTAGTTGATTAAAACCTAAGCAATGCAGTGGCTGTTCACCTTGAATGGTAGTAGTTCCTTTTGCTCTAACATCAGCAGATTTTGATTACTCCCTAGAGATGTATACAATTTAGTTGGACTGGAAGAACATTTTTATAATGCCTTAATGTTTATCTCTAGTTTGAGTGTGGTATCTTAGACAGTAATGATGTTAACACACACGATAGAGGAGCCAGTGAAAGGAAGTGCTCTACCGGACCTCATGCTTAAAAATAAGGAAGAACTGGTTGGGAATATAAAGGTCAGGGTAACCTTGGCTGCAGTGACCATGAGATGGTGGAATCAAGGAGCCTAAGAGGAGGCAGCAAGGCAAAAAGCAGAAGCACAACCCTAGGCTTCAGGAGAGCAGACTTCAGCCTGTTCAAGGACATGCTTGGAAGGATCCCATAGGAGACCATGCTGGAAAGAAGAGAGATCTAAGAGAGCTGGTTGATTTTCAGGGATCACGTCCTCTATGCTCAAGAATGGTCCATCACAATGAACAGGAAATCAAAGGCAGCCAGAGGCCTGTATTAATGAACAAGGAGCTCCTGACAGAACTCAAATAAAAAGGAAGAAAGGTGGAAGCAAGGACAGGTGACCCAGGAAGAACATGGAGACACTGTTTGAATGTGAAGGATTAGGAAAGCCAAAGCCCACCTGGAACTGAATCTGGTGAGGGACACGGAAGGACAGCAAGAAGGGCTTCTACAGGGCTTCAGGGCTATATCAGCAGCAAAAGGAAGACTAGGGAAAATACAGGCCTGTTGCTGAGTGGGGCACGGGACCTGGTGAAAACAGAAATGGAAGAGGCTGATGTACTGAAAGTCTCCTTTGCTATGGTCTTTACCAGTAACACTTGCCTTCAGGAATACCAGATCCTTGAAATGAGTTTACAGAAGTAGTGCTTCTGTAATGAATCACTGAATCTAATGAGACATGTAGATGTTGTAGCTTAGCGACTATCCCCATTCTAATGAATCGGACACCTGTTGGATACTTTGGGCTCTGTGTGTGAGCCTGCGTGTGTGTGTGAATATTTGTGTTGCGTATAATTATAATGCTATATGTGCATATTTTATAGTACCGTATCCTCTGGTTAGTCACAAGGAGAGGATATTTTAAGTTATTTAAAGATTTTAAAGGCTATTTTAGAGGCTGTTTATGTTAAGGAGTAAAGTGGCTATAAGCTGACCATGAATAAGTTTAGGATAAAACTAAAAAGAAAGCTGTATTGTATACATAAGAATACTGAGAAGCTTTGAAACAGCTTTTTAATACACAAGAAAGGTAGCTGAGTTTTTGATAGACTATATTAACATCAGGCATATGATTATAGAGCGTGGGTTCCTTTCAGGAACAGGGGCTGACCTGCATACCATAGGAGATCCAGCATACTTTTTCCTAATATGATACAGTGACTGTGTTTGTATGTTTTTCATATTAGTTTATGCACTTTAATTTCTGAATTAAATATTTTACAGCAGAAATTATCTATTAGACTGAAAGACATTTTTCATAGTTTTACATTTCTATTTTATGTTCTTTGCTCAAATAATTTAGTCACTGTTTTATGTAAATACACCGCATATATAACAATAAAAAGATTGCTAGGTGAGACTGAAAAGAAACTAACTGTCAAGAAGCGTCCTTGAAAAAGTAAATAATGGAATATAATGTAGAAAAAACAACTCCTAGCAGGATTTGTACAAGAACTTTAGAATCTATGAGATGTAGACTGGAAGAAGGTAGGTTTGGACTAGGACTGTTATTTTAGGGTGGTTCTTGCAGACGTGAAAAATAACAAAGAAATATAAAACACTGACTATTAATAGTTCCATACATTTTTACAATAATTGGCATAGTGTACAACTTGTAAATTTTAAATGATACTGTATTAATTGAAATTGAACTGAGAATTGAACTGGGAATCGAAACGAGGGTCAAATTTTGCACTCTGATCCAGTAGAACCTATATGCCAATTAAAGATATATAAAAGGATGAAGTTAAAAACAGTGACTCAAACTTGAAGAAAAATGAGGATTTTTTTTTTTCTGTGTATCTGCTCATTTCAAAGGATGACCACATGTCCACAGGATGTTATTTCCCTTGTTAAATTATGCAGAGATTTAGTTTTTCTATCTGATCAGATCCAATCCTAAACAGCTTTTCTTCTGTAAATAACTATCATAGTTAAATAAACAAACATATTACTTCTGCAGAGTTTAACTAATTGTTAAAATAAAAGTTGTATTTTCTTTTACAGACACAATGTATGTGGCAAGATCAAACAACTCTGCTATTCACAAATATAACATTTGGGTTTCAGATTACTGTCAGCTATTCTGGTTTAATATTTGTGATGTTTGATATTTACATCACAGCTTTGTTTCCAAGATGACGAGCATAATTACTGTAGAAATGCAGGCATAATTATGATAACCTTGTTTTTAATCTTTCCCGGTAGGATTTTGGAGATGATGGATCCTTGTACATTACTAAGGTTACCACAACTCATATGGGAAATTACACCTGCTATGCTGATGGCTATGATAAGCTCTATCAAACTCATATTCTCCAAGTGAACGGTAAGGAAAAATGTTGTAATTACCAAGTCATAAGGACTTAGATTTGGATTTTGTTGAGCAGATCTGTTGTTGCTGGTTTACTGGTTTTTATATTGTGTTACAGCTTAATAGAAAAAGAGATACAATTATTTTTCCTTGTTGTTCTCCTATAAATAACCTTGCAAAACAATAAAATATAATCATTTTCATTTATTACTTCCATATGAATAATAGTTATTAAAAGGAATAAAGATAGTCCAGAGGACTTGCTCTGCACTGTGAACTGAGGATGTTTAGCATGTTATATGCAGATTAATAAGTGGTTTTATATATACACATATATATACACAGATAAAGTACTTTTTAGTATTAATTTAGTAGTTCTGGAGAACACACTGGGAAAAATAAGTGCATAGGTCTGTTGTGTTAAGAATGTTGCATTTAATATAAGATTAAAAAAATGCACTACCCTAAAAGTTTTGTAATTGATGTAGGCATCTAAATTCACATTTATTATTTTGAAATCTAACCATGATTTTAATAGATTAACTCTAGGCATCTGGATTTGAAATCTTCATCTTTACATTTTCCTACATCTGTTCAAGTTGAAGGACCACTTTCCTGAGCTCTGTACTTGGACAAAACTTAACTGCAATTGTTACTGGTGCCCTGAAGACAGGGCTTTCCCTTCTCTTGAACTGGAGTACCCTCTCCTAGCTCTTTTTCCTATGTGTAATTTTTTTTCTAAATTATTTTAAGCAGTTGTTCTCCTCCACTGATGAAGGGTCCAAGGTCCCACTGTACTTTATCCCCAGTGAGGTTTAATGTCTTTTTTTTTTTTTTGAGTGACCTTGTGCTTTCCTGTTATTTCAATGTTCATTTATCTTTGACTCTTAAGACTACCTTTCCGCATTAAACTGCCAGTATTTGTTATTCCATGTTGATACTTAATCCTATCCAGAATCATGTTTGAACTCAATCTTCTCCTGCAAATTTACTTTGCATTAACAGGCTCTAACTTTCTCCTGAAGCATATTCTAGACCTAGTTTCTTGGCCACTGCTGTTGCCATCATTCTTTGTTTTGTTAATTGTTAATCAGTTGCATAAACTCTTATTATAATTGACTTTTCTTGACATCTCTTATCCAAAAATGCTGAAATATTTTCTGATATTCATATCTTTCATTGATATTCACACCAAATGCAGCTTCCAAGATTATTTTACTTGTCTTTTAATACGATTCACTCTTTTTTTAATAGCCTTTTTTCCCCACTTTCTGTTGTTAATATCTTTCACACTTGAAATGACTTTGATGTTTAGTGCTTGTTTGCAGTTTTCTTAACATGTTGTCTCTGCCATTTTGTTTCTCCAGGAAACTGGCTTAGAGTATCTATTTATCCATCTCTTTTAACTTTTTTTTTCCCCCCAATTTCTTCCCCCACCCACCAACACTTTGTAAATGGAGTGTCCTCCCTGAGCTAATACATGGCATCAACATCTTTTCCTCCTTCAAATTTTTCTTCAGGAATTCTTTTCTGTCATTTAAAAAGTCAGGTAGCAAATACTGGCTAAACTAGTGAGAAAACTGAAGTGCAGTTTACTCGTATTTTAATTCCAGCAGAATTATTGGTGAGTTGGGCACATTAGAAGGTCCTTGACCAACTTTCTCCTCTGTTTCACGTGTTCTGGTTTACCCTAATTTATTAACAAAATTATATTCTTGTCAACACATTCCTACTTATTCCAATGTGTTAATAATCCTGAAGAGGTGCGTTGCAACAGTTAAAATACTAGGATTCTTCATGTTTGGCTCAGTTCAGCACACAATGAGGCAAAACTCCACTTAAGTTGAAGAAGGTTTTCTGCAAGACTAGAAAATCAAGAAACATAATTTAGGATAGGTGAAGGAGGACAACTGTAGATTTTTCTGATGACAAATGAAATGTTGAAGGTGTCAGGAAATTGTATATTTCATCTGGAAACCACTGCAAACCTTTATGGTGCCAAAGGCAATCACTGCTGTTGCTGCTCTGTATCATTCATATAAATTTAAAGTTGTCCAAACAAATTGACTGGTCCAGGTTTGCTCTGCTCAGATAGCTGCTGTTCCACAAGCTGGCACTTGAGTGGTACCTTTCAACACCATTTTGGATGTTGATTTTTTGGGAAGTGAGAGAAAGGAGAAAGGAGTCCCTTTTAGCAATAGGATCATTTGCTGTGCATATTGTGGATAAATAGCATTAAACCCATTGAGATTAAAGGTCAGATAAACAGTTCTTCCACAGTTTAGATCTGTACTTCTAAGCAGTAATCTTCCTAAACACAGGCATGATGGTCAGTTCTTGTAGCTGTGATAATAACTAATTAATATAATGATACTTGCATTAACAGGAGAGTCAGACAAAAGGTTAATGAGATAATGAGGCTCCGTTGATCACAAAGATCTAATGTGAAGGTTCAATGAAAATGTTATTAGATTTTAAGTTCTTTCTTGATTTCCATTTGTGTAAATCTATATATTTTTAGAAAAAATATTTATATATTTTACATTGACTAGTTTGTCAATATTATATGTATATATAATTTTGATTTATTTTTCTTTTAAGATTAAAATCTTTAGGAATTTTTTTTGAGTTTTGAATTGCCTGGTACAGTACTAAAGAATAATGAACTTCCTTTGGAGTCTTAACAATACAGATAATCAGCACAGTAAAAGACATGTTTTATGGTGAGAAAATTCAGTCTAATCTTACACAAATAATACAGTAAAGTAGATATTGTAAGCAATATTATAATAAGTTGGTATTTAATCTTTTTTCGTATAAAGTTTTGGTACCTTAAGGTAAAGAAACTATAAATTGGTGATTTATAGTGTCTGGAGAATTGTTTACCACCTTTGTTTTTCAAAAAAAAAAATCTCAGTTTAATCAAAAAGAAGAGTTATCATATACAGCAATAGAAGAATCTAGTTCACTACATATATTATATGTTTCTTTCTTAAACACATACATTCTCCCCGGATTCTAGACAGCTTGAACAGACTATTTTCTCTCTTCCTCCAACTCCCCTCCCCCCTGCCTTAGACCTAACTGAAATAATCTTCAGGAGTTTTTATAGCAATTGTAAGATGTATTGAATAGTTACATATTCACCATATTTGGAACCAACAGTCTCACATGGCTTTTTGAATTGAATGATAAGGGATGCAGGATTCATTCAATTACATATTATATATGCTTCTACTAAATACAATCATGCAATGTTTTCTCTCCCCCCCCTTTTTAACCTATGTAATGACCTCTCCCTTATAAAGTAGGCTTCTTTAGGTTAAGGTATTGGAACATACCTCTTTGAAAGTCAGCGGGAACAATCACATTATTTGTGTACTTAAAATTTGCTTTCTGCTAGTACTTATGGTCAGTTACACAAAAAAGTGATTGAAATGAACCCACAGTTTATATCAAATTTGTCATATCAAATTAATTTTTTAGACTGAGCCCACACTGCACTAATATTTTAATTGCCTGCATGCCTCAGTTGCACAGTTCTTGGGGGCATATTACAGGTAGGCTCCAGGGTGATATGAAATAAAAAATTATAATATAAAATAAGGGTTGGAAAACTTTTCTAGTTGTATAGATAACCTATCAGACACAGATTTGCTGAGGAAAGTGGGAAATGGGAGCAAATGGAGGAAAGATAGGGCAAGAAATAAACTCTAGGGTCATGCAAGTAGCTCTGTGTCTGGGAAAACACTGCTAAAGGGAACAGGAGTTACTACAGAAATATGGGTAGTAGAAGAAAACTCAGACCTGCTTTCGCTTGAGCAGCTCCTCACCTTCACATCTCCTGACCCTTGAATAGTTAATTTAGCAACAATAGCATCTTGTGTTGAAGGGTTTGATTTTGTTTGTTTGTTTAGGAATTATTTGATTTAGGTTTTACTATGTTCTAAAACTTTGCTAAGAATAAAGTTGCCCAAAAAATATCATCTGCCCTTTGCCCAAGTTAAACTAATGCATTCCTTTTTCTATTCAATGAAAATTCTCCAAAATTGGACTGTTAGAAAAATTTCCCTTCACACGCACTTAGTAGAAATCTGTCAAGGTGTGGTAGTTAAATTCCCGTAAGTTTTTATAAGCAACGAGAATATTTCACTGGCACAAAACAGACAAGAAATATCCTAAGTAGTCAGAATGCAATGAGTTACAATGCTTTGCTATTGGTCCTAGAAGTTGTTTATGTTGCTGAGATGCTCGAGAGTCTTAAATGATGGCAATCCTGTCTCTAAGGAGATGGAGCTCCTTGCTCTTCTTGAGGCAAGGTGGAGAAGTAAACTATTTGGCTTTGATGCAGTGGGAAATCTGCAACATGGGGTAGGCCTCTAAAGGACCTTCTGTCAAGAAATGCTGAACAGGGCAGACATTAAAGTTGGACCCTAGGAAGTGAGGCAGAGTGAGGCTGGGAGCTGAGGTGCTGAAAGGGGCTCAGGCCATTTGAGCGTGCAGTTGCGTGGGGCTCAGTATGAGGAACACAGAGGGAAGGCAAGGTCTCAGTATGGAACACACAGATCCTATGGGAAAGGAGACAGAACAGGGAAGAAGTAGAGGGGGAACAGGAATGGGAATGTCAGGTTTGAGATGAAAAGTAGAGATCTGCATCCATAAAAGCAAAGTCCATTCTAGAAACTCAATAGAAACCTTAAATCCCTGATTTTTAAATGCTCTTGCTCTCAGCTGGTAGTCTAAGCAATTAGCAGCCATACTTTTCATATTTTTAATCTTTTTCCATGTTCTTTTACTATATTTTTGCAGTTTGCATATTAGGATTATGTGTAGTTTTCCATGTATATTATTTGAAAAGACTCTTGTCTCTAACTGGGTTTAAAATATCCCTGAAACCTACTGATTTTCGTGTCTTATCTGAGATACAGTACATTTGTGTATTTCTTGCAATGTAAAAATCTGAGGCATTTTTATGCTCTAATAGGACAGCATGCTGGGACATTTCTTGTAAACAGTTGGATAGCATTTGAAAATATTTCATCTCGTGCCAAAATAGACACAGTTAATTTTTGATCTTGTTATCTTCTTTCATTATCAACTGATACTTCATCTTCTACCCAGCTGTGTTTTGTGACACCAGCTAAGTATTCCACATTTTTAAAGCTGCATTAAACAAAACTTTGGAGAACAGGAAATATGCTTCTTTAACCTTCATTACTGTTTTTTTTTTTTTTATTGTTAGAAACAACCTCAAGCAAGTTCTCTTTATACATAATTAAAGATAACATCAATAATTATTCATCTAAAAAAATCTACACAGCAAGATTTTTAAATCTTGCTTAATCATTGATTACCAATAGGAATATGTCCACTGTGATGCCATATGCCCTCTCCCTGGTATGTAGCAGATTTTTAGTTGGTAAACATATACTGCAGCAAGTTTCAAAACCTTGGAAAAGTGATGTCAACAATTCTTATATTTTGCTAATAATGAAACTGAGAAGACGAGTCTTATAAATGTCCTGTTTAACAACTTCATTACTGATCTGGATGATGGGGCAGAGTTGTACCTTCAGCAGGTTTGCAGATGACACCAAACTGGGAGAAGTGGCTGATATACCAGGGGAGTCATGCTGCCATTCAGAGGGAACTTGACAGGCTGAAGAAATGGACCAGCAGGAGAACTGCAAAGTCCTGCGCCTGGGGAAGAACAACGCCATGCACCAATATATGCTGGGGGCCACCCAGGTGGAAAGCAGCTTGGCAGAAAAGGACCTAGGGGTCCTGATGGACACCAGGTTGAACACGAGTCAGCAATGTGCCCAGGTGGTAAAGAAGACAAATGGTATCCTGGGCACAGGAGGTCCTGTCTCAACATCAGGAAACACTTTTTTTACTGTGAGGGTGACTGAGCACTGGCACAGGTTGCCCAGAGAGGTGGTACAGTCTCCCTGCTTGGAGATATTCTAAAACCTAGATAATGGTCCTGGGCAACTGGCTCTAGGTGGCCCTGCTTGAGCAGGGGACTGGACAAGATGACCTCCGGAGATCCCTTTCAACTTCAACCATTATGTGATTCTGTGATTACATGTAAAATGGATTATACAGGTAAAATGGATTGCTGATAGGTGTTTTGGAGAGAAGGGAAAGGTGGAGATGAACTGTTAAAAAAAAGGTTTCTGAAACAGGACAATTACAATCTTTGTACATCACGCCATGCACCAATATATGCTGGGGGCCACCCAGGTGGAAAGCAGCTTGGCAGAAAAGGACCTAGGGGTCCTGATGGACACCAGGTTGAACACGAGTCAGCAATGTGCCCAGGTGGTAAAGAAGACAAATGGTATCCTGGGCACAGGAGGTCCTGTCTCAACATCAGGAAACACTTTTTTTACTGTGAGGGTGACTGAGCACTGGCACAGGTTGCCCAGAGAGGTGGTACAGTCTCCCTGCTTGGAGATATTCTAAAACCTAGATAATGGTCCTGGGCAACTGGCTCTAGGTGGCCCTGCTTGAGCAGGGGACTGGACAAGATGACCTCCGGAGATCCCTTTCAACTTCAACCATTATGTGATTCTGTGATTACATGTAAAATGGATTATACAGGTAAAATGGATTGCTGATAGGTGTTTTGGAGAGAAGGGAAAGGTGGAGATGAACTGTTAAAAAAAAGGTTTCTGAAACAGGACAATTACAATCTTTGTACATCACATCTTAACGTACTGGTTGTACGTTATTCGTATTTTATAAAGAAATTTAAGGAAAAATAAAAATCTTATTACTCAACCCCAAACTATTGAATTAGAATTCAGGCTTTTTTCATTGATACCACCGGCAGTGAAAAGAGGTTTTTCTCACAGAACATTCTGCTTCCTAAATTTACTGTGACAGAGTTCAGCATTGAATGTCACTGAGTATGTGACTAATACCACATCTGTATGTTGTTATATACAGCTGCAGGAGTCTTTAGAATTGCTTATAATTATTTTTCTTAAAATTAAGATAATGCTCTTCTCCACTAAATTATAATTGTTTCCTGCGTTCAGTTCCACCAGTCATCCGAGTCTATCCAGAGAGCCAGGCAAGGGAGCCAGGTGTGACAGCTAGCCTTCGGTGCCATGCTGAAGGTATTCCCAACCCACAACTTGGTTGGCTGAAGAATGGAATTGATATCACTCCGAAGTTGTCCAAACAGCTAACTCTTCAAGGTAAAGGGGCATGTTTATTGTTTTCTACAGGTTGCAAAGCTTTATCAGTGCATCCTTTCCGTACTAGCTGTCCTTCTTACATAGTTTTAACCAAGGCTTGAAGTCTAAGCTAAAACATTTCAGAAGGTGTCTTCCAGTTACTCCCCAAGATATGATACATATCTTCTCTGCTTTCTCTTTATTAGAACAATGGTTGTACTTACTGGCAAGTTTACCTGTAAATTCCAGTACGCTCTTCTCTATTCAAAAATGTGCAGTTTCTGAGTAGAGCAAACAGCCCAAGACCCAGACCCAACCCAGTATTAGAATTTGTCATTACAACTGTATTGATGCCATTCAATGAGTATTCAACACTGATATTTAAATTGGGAAGCAATGCTTTTGTCTGTAAAGATTTATTCTAATGCATTGATATTAATCTAGTTATTTTTCATGAGTCCAAATTTAAATTGAGATCAAAACATGGACCAAACTTTACCTTTACTGCAGCTTCAGTTGAAAACAGAAGTTTTTTGACTGATAAGAATCTCAGTGACACTCAGGGACCTGATGGTGGAAGGGACAGGAGGAGAAATACCTGAAATGGATGTGCTGTTTTCTGAGGGGTCTCAGCAGACCTCCAGGGGAGTGCAAAGACACTGCACAAAAAAAAAAAAAAACCACAACTAAAGGAAAATCTTACTTTTAATCGACAATAAAGGCCAGTTTATGAATCTTCTATGAATCTTCAGGGCTCAGCAAATGCAGTGAACCTGCCCAGCACCCTGCCCAGCACAAAACCTTCTAGCGTCTGCAGTCCTTCTGGTGATTTTTGATCAGCCATAAAAAAAAAAAACCTCTCGTGCTGCCAGTGTTCCTTTCAAAACCTTCTCTCATTCATCTGCAAAAACAGGATGTGTATTAGGATAGGACAGCAATCAGGCTGCAGTGTAAGAAACAGTGGGACAGGCAGATGGCGAATGCTTCTTTGAAGAGAGTCTTACCTTCCCCGTATGTGCCATAGTCCTCTGTTCTTTCATGGCCCTCTCTCCTGGACGTATGTGAACAGTTGCCTTGCAGAAACACTTCCCACCATGAGTAGAAAGTGGTGGACTCCTCTTCCGTAGCAGTGTTCTGTTAATTTCTCCAGTAGGGATTTGAGTAGATTTTTTTTTTCCGTCACCCCTGTATCATATATTCATGATAAATAAATAAAAATGGTTTTTCTCTAAGCAAAATACATTTAATTCCATTTTCTTGAAGTTACTTATTTGAAATAAAATTTTGAAAATCTCATTCATTTTCCCTGAGTTTTTCCTGAGTTAAACTATCTATACATTAGCTTCAAGCAAAAGGTGGCCTAGGACTATTACACCATAACCCAGTGCCCCTTCTAATCCATATTTTAGTATACCTACAAATCTGTTTTTATAAAATAGATCCTAGAATTGAACAGGTATACTATACTTAAAATGCAATGAATCATTGGTCACATCATTATTCACATCACATTATTTAAAAGACCTTTGCCTGTGAAACCTGGAATGTTTGCTGACATTCCTACTCAAGCTGACATACAACTTCTGAAGTGGTTTCTGCAGACTCCTACACTGATGTAGATGTAAAATTCCAGTGTGCCTGTTTTTTCTGTTGTTATACTGCATTCACACAAAAACAAAACCAGGTGCCTCTGGTTACTAGAAACAAATAATTTTATTAAAATTATTATTTATGTTGAAATTTTAGCCCATTATGTTCCATGGAAACCTGGGTTGTTTTGTGTAAAGCCAGTGATAGTGTCAAGTGACCAAATGCAACATAGTAAAAACATAATATTTACATGATTTTAAAGACAACCATAGTCATTTAAACATATATAAAGCCTTAGACTGATATTTGGCTCTGAAGTGCAAAATCAGCTGAGGTATTCTGAATATCTGTGAGATGAATAACAGTGCATGTAATTCACTAGCCAGTTGAATACCTTTGGATTAGCTTGGCATACCTCCAAGTTATGAACTCAGGAATGAAAACGGTTTAATTAGTATAAGAAGAGAAAGCCTTGTGAATATATAATCTGAAAGCACTGTAGCATGTCTGCATGTTGAATTTTTCCTCTCCTTTCAGCAAATGGCAGTGAGGTTCACATTAGCAATGTGCGCTATGAAGATACAGGAGCATATACTTGTATTGCAAAGAATGAAGCAGGAGTGGATGAAGACATTTCTTCTCTTTTTGTAGAAGATTCTGCTCGAAAGACCCGTAAGTATTATAAGAAGTATAAAAATACATGTAGCCCTGACTTAAACATTAAATCAGTATTAAAAACTATGAAACATTAAATAAATTGAGTATGTGTATATAACTGATTAAAAAAAAAGAAAGTTTAAATAATGATATCCAAGAATCACCAAAGGTAGAGTGCATAATCTGAAGTTTATTTAGAAGTAAAATGAAATCTCTGATTCATTCTGTGAATTGATATTTCTCACATTGCTGTTAAAATTTGTATAGTTTCCTCATGATAGATTTGTTGCATATGAAGGGAATAGGAAGGGATAAAAAAAAAAGGAACTGGATGCCTAAATGAGGCAAAGCAGTAGTCCCGGTGTGGTTTCTGGTGTTGATGGGGGTGTGGGAGGAATACCTTTCCCAGTCTCTCTTCGTGTGTGTTCTTGAGATATACCAAGAGTCAAACTTGGCCCTCATGACATGAGAGTCATCACAGGACTTGATCTCACCTGCTGGAGTGCTCAGCAGGTCCAGATCATTTCCAGCCTGCCCATGCTGTCTTGTGCCCGGATAACTGTGGCTCTCCAGAAATGCAGAGCAACAGTGACCACATTCACTTGCTAAGTTGGGAGTTCAAGGGGCCAAAGAAATCTTTACCACAACCGAAAAGTAGCTTTCTTTATCCTCTGTTGAATGGTAGTGGGGCTTATAAACCCTGTTTACCTGTTATTTGTCTGCCTTGATACTTCTTTCCCCTTCCCTTTCCTTCCTCTGCTCAGAAAAATCAGTTCCTGAGTTTATGCTTCAGCCGTCTGTTTTTGCCTTTTTTGTTGTTTTTTTTTCTTTTACATCTGTTATTTTAATGAATACTACATATTCATTAGAAATATATCTAGTAAAATTATAGTTATTTTACTAGTGAGTCTGACTGCATTAACTTAAGGCATTCCTATTTATCTAGAAGCTTATTCAACAGTGACGAGTACTCAACAGAAGATACTAGAGGCAGAATTAGTAGCACTGCAAGTCTGCCTGACACTTTCTGTCACAAGACACTGAGTTCAGTTACATATAGGTTTATTAATCTTTAAATGTTTCAGAGGAAATCTTCCATACAGGAAAATTTTATAATCCAAATGTTAATATCTTTATTTAGCTGCTTTCAGTAACACTAATTATTACCGTCATTTCAAAAGTCTTAACATATTTCTTTTTAAGTGTCATGAAAATGACTGCTCAGATATCTCTGAGAAGGCAGCTGTGGATGAGTTGTTTGATCATGCTGAATTTCTAGTAACCTGGTGATATGAAGTAGCTTGGTCACCTCCATTTGCCTTTTGCAGTCTGTGAAAAATGCTGTGAATGTTGCCAAATTACAAAACCCTGATGAACTAGAATTTGTTTATGCTTGGTTAAGACTTGTTTGGCCTTAACAACAAAACATTTATATCCAACTGTCCAGTTTCCAAGTGTCTTAGGTAATGGTTGTATCCTCTGGAGACCTGATCTGCAATGATTATTCGGGAATAGCCACACCTATGCAAAATACTGTTTTCAGGAATTGTAATGTGATGCAATAATTTTAGATCATCTGACTTTAGAGGATTTGTAAAATCACACGCTATGCAATGAACGTTGCTTGCAAGAAATGCTTTAAAATCTACTAGCAGTAAGTTGTTATGATGACCATTGGTGTCATGAAAGATGTAAGTGAAGGAAGACAGAATATAAACCCGGTTATTTCTAAGACAATTCACCCAAAAGGCACAGTCTCCTTCCTTTCTATAAAAGTCATTTACTCTGCAAGTTCTACATTGTATGTTGAAGGAAGACATTTTACCATTGTGATCCTTGGTGTCTGAACATGGCTTCCTAAAAATTGGTAGATGTGTAAATACACATATAGTCCATAGCTGCATAATTATATCATTCAAATATAGGTGCAACAGATACTTACATGAGATGCTTACTCTGGTACTCTGATTCACTGACTTTGGCTCAGAAACCCATTTCTGTACATGCAAGAAGATTAAGGTACATACCAATAAAAAAAGCAATTACTATCAGTATCATTGTCACAACTACATGAATCAAGTGCCTTCACAAGTACAAATTTTGATAGATACAGTTTAAAAAAAATGCTTCTGTTTAAAAAAAAGTGCTTTTGCAGGGAGGAGTTGCCAGCATTAGAAAACTGAAATTAAGAGTAGAAGGGCTTTATTATTAACTCTTCTCTGCTTGTCTTTATATTTCTTCCAAAACACTGGCTCATGCAGCAAATTAGGGATTATTAGGGAAGAAAATGACATAGGTAAAACCACCTGGATAGGATTGTGGGCTTTTGTTCCCCCACCCACACATTTTAAACACAATGCTACTACTACTTTAATTTAAAACCTGCTGATTAGGTCACAAGTTACATAAGACAGTCTCTGACAATGTAAATGTGATTTTGTATGATCTGATATAAACTATACCTGTCATAGATGACATTTTTATAAATAATTTTGCTTTTATCCTCCTTTAAGAGAATAAAGCAGACGTGTTTTTTTTTTTATCTTTTTTTTTGTTTCCTCCTTACTGGAGTACTCCCTTCTGAAAATCTTAGGATATTGCTTTGAAAAAAAGTAAAGCAGATTCTGACTAGCTTGTCAGTTAGTCTGGGCTTGTCTACTTTTACATAAGGTAAAAATCATAGCAAAATAAAAGCATTTCAGAACATTGAGTTGATTGGCTATTGAGAGGGTAGTGTGAACTTTTACAGTGGAACTCTAAAATGTAAACTACAATTGCACTGCTTTGAGCATGACAGTAATTTTATAAGCCACATAATGAATACAGAACATGGTTCCATTTTTACCAGTGTACGTATTTTATTTCCTAGAAAGTTTAATAGTTAAAGGAAATGTTCACTTTTGTACTTATCTGACCCATTGTTTATGTGCATATGAAAGCTCCTGGTTTTTAATACTACTTTGCATAATAAGCTAAATTTTTGGTAATTATCTGTGGAATATTATTTTCAACACATCCCAAATGTGTTATGCGGAAAACTCAAGTACAGTGCTTTGAGAAAAATTTAATAATGTAGCAGAAAGGGCATGGCTAGCTCATTCCTTTGGGAATGGGTAATGTAAACAGCTCCTAAGAGAAAATCTTCTATTGTCTGGAACCTCTGCCTAAGTTAAAACCAGTGCCATTATGGATAAATAGATTGTTAAATAATAAACGAAGCTTTCCTTCACCTGTGTGCCTAAAAATGTTATCAGATTGCTAGGTTTTCAAAATTCACGGCATTGGCTACAGAGGCAGGTGATGCATGTGTCTGTATTATAAACAGAAAAGGAGTGAATGGCAAACCTATACTGAACTGTGGGAAGTGTGATACTAGTAACAAAAAAAAAAAAAAAAAAAAGTAGAGTATGACTTAGGGGTGCCAGGGCATTGTTTATTTTAAAGTTTCCAGTTTCAGAAATTTGAATTCCAGTTCCCAAAAAAAGTCAATATACTTTAATGATAATGATTCATCATCAAGATGGTAATTTGAGATGGAAGTAAACGGAAAATACTGTGAAAGTGCTTTGTCATCCAGATCTGTTCAGTAAATGCCAGCACTGAATACTGAACCATTGTTCTGTCACACATAGGTAAAAATTTTAACAATGGATGACAGTCTCAAGAATAGTATGACCTCTTCTTAGCCCGTCAACCTTTTTCAATGTGCACTAAAAATAAAACTTCTGAAAGTATGTTTTCATTTTGGGATTGTCTCAGGTGAGAGGAATTAAATTATTTTCTTTAAAATACCTTAACTTCAGCATTATTTTTTACCAGTTAACTCATTCTGTAGCTGAAATTTGATATACTTAACATCTGTGTCCAAACACATGCGCACTTTTTGCTAGATTTGTGAAGTTGTAATGGAAATTTTTAGTTTATATTACCTATATAAACATCTGTTATAAGTACTGGTGATAAATGTCTGGTGCTGTCTATTATCAGATCCTGTTTAATTCCTCTGATGTCAACCATTTAGATTGAAGCATTCCATTATTGCTGTCTGTCTCAAACAACAACTTTTTTGTTGCTTTTAATTTTTAATGTTTCTGCTAATATACTCTGGCCACTCCTGAAACAGACGTTAGAAAGAAAACATGATTTTGCTCATGTTAAAAATGCTATAGTCATTTTACTGAAAGCTTTTTGCATCACAGTCTGGGACTTGATATTGGTGGTTCATGCTGTAAGATTATCACTAGAACATACTGCAACAAAAATAATGATTTCTCTGGTGTTTGACACAGTAAAAATCTCCAAGCAATCGGTGATTTATATAGTGGGTGGACACTTCTTGGGAGTTTGGCAGAGTCCTGAAGATGCCATTTGCACTCAGTAGACCCAGGCTTTAGGACTACCAGAACAGAGTAGATTCTCAATGTAACTGCTTCTTCTTTGCTCCGTGGGCTTTTGTGGATGTGAAAGTGAGGATAACTTTCTTCTTGTGCTCTTGGCTCTTCTTGGCTCCTTGAGTGGTCCTCCAAGTAGCATCCAAGGAAAGGTAGGTAAGGAGGACTAAGACTGAGTAAATTGAAGAAGTGGAAGAGGCCGATAATGCGAGGAAAAAGGGAGGACAAAGGCAGCAGCTGATGAAAGAGGACAGGTTAGTGAGAACACTGAAGGAGACAGAATGGGAGGAAAAAGGGACAGGAGCACAAGGGCAAGATGGTCTCTTAAAAGCTACATAATAATCCTCTATAAGATGTGGAGTTGCATCCAGGAGTATCTAGTCACTTTAATGTCTTGTCATTAAATTTCTGTGATCACACTGTGACAGTGTACATCTTATACTGCTGCTCCTTTTTAATCCATGTGGAGAATAACACTACTTCTAGCACTGATTAAAGCAAATAAGAGAGATATCTGAGAAGACTGAACTTTCTATTGTTGTAGTAAGTGGAACATTTTATTTAACTTGCCTTTTTTAAGTAAGACAGCATATTGGAGTATAAATGTATATTAAAGGAAAATCT